GAGAGAGAGACGAAGGAGACGGAGGAGATGGAGGAGGAGAAGAAGAAGAGGCAGGAGAAAGAGGCGAGGGAAGGAGACGAAGAGAAGTGGGTGCACGACTCGTCCGTGGATCACAGAGGAAGACTCCCTCGCCGAGCTTCCACTGGTGTCTGGAAAGCCGCTCTCTTCATCATCAGTATGCTTCCACCACCCAACACCACCACCTTCTTCTTCTTTCTTCTTCTTCCTCTTCTCCTAGTATTCACTTCACTACTTCTTGTTCTGTACACGTAGATGATCAAATTACATCTCGTAAGCTATGGCGGCTGTTAGGATTTGATTTTATTTTGTTTAATGCGGAACACACCCGGGACAGTGCGAAGCATACAAATACCGGCACGAAAAATCATATATAATTTTTCTTTTTGTAATTTTTAAAAACCCGAAACGTTATTTTTTTTCCTCCATTTTCATTTTTTTTAGAGTGAAAAGTGTACTTTGTAGTAGAACCCCAAATTAAAAATATGTCCGTACATTTCGAGATTATATATACACCATGCGAGACTATATCGCAAAAAAAAAAATAGAATAAGAAAATAAATCGGACATTAAATTTAGAACAAGGAAATAAATCGGACATTAAATTTACGAGGTTCGATCTGTGCAACCTACTCTACCGAGAGAACAACCCAACATCTGAAATGGAGATCACAATCATACTCTAATCACTTGGACACTTTCGACGTTGCCCCATCACACAATAATTCACACAGTGTTTTGCCCTCATGATTTTTTACGACACAGTCACTTATCCTCGCGAAAGAATTCACAGATCTGTATTGGATCTCTTGAAAAAGGCCGAGCCGCAATCGAACTTTGAAAGAACGAGACACCCCCACCTATTCTTTCCACCCGAGTCAAACGATGCTCCAAATCCGACAGAGTTTCCCTCGTTTTGCTTTTACCATTGTCGGAGTAGGAATCAAAGTCCAATCCAGACTTTTTCATGAAGTGTCTCTACAATATGGACCGAGTTTCGGCATACTTCGATCTGGTCGGAATTTGCACCGGCTCAAACTCGAGACATGACACGTAGTGATTATACTCGTTTAATGGGCGGTGCGATAGTTACTCGAAACTCGAAAATATATATATTCGAGGCTCTATCAGTCAACACAGGAGCTTCGCAGGAAGAGTGCCATGGGTGATTGGACTACTTAGTTAATAGAGTGGAATCGTATAAACTGATTAAGCTGGATCAGGTATTAACATATGTTCCAAACTTGCATGTTCTTAGCTTCATTTAGGATACTCGAAGTCGTGTCGCGTGTCCGATTCTGTAATAATACTTCGTCGTCTCCCGCGCGACGTCGACAACATGGTCATAGTAGTCGAGATCTAAAGCCACCGCGGTGATCTCCGGCGTTCTTTTCCCTTTTTCTTTCTCGTTCAGGGTAGAGTTAGAGAATGTAATCGACGCGAGCGATATAGCACACCGAAGCTAACATGTGTATATAAGCACGGACGGAGCCAAGGCAAACAAATTGATTAACAATCAGCACTTTTAAATCTGTTTTAAGCTACAAATACAGAGTAAAAAGAGGTCATTTCCTGCTTCATATGAATTTCCTATATCTGTTTCATCAATGGAAAAGTTCAATGACAAAGCTGTCGATTTTCAATTCGGATTGCAGCAATTGAGTTCAGTGAGAGGCTGTGCTATTTCGGAATAGCAACAAATTTGATCACATACCTCACCAGAGTGATCCATCAGGACCTGAAGACAGCTGCCAAGAGCGTCAACTACTGGGCCGGCGTCACCACGCTGGTGCCCTTGATCGGTGGCTTCCTAGCCGACGCCTACACCGGCCGGTTCCCCATCATCCTAGCCTCGTCCCTCGTCTATCTTGTGGTAATGAATCGACTACCTCTAACTAATCAGTCGACTAAATTTGCAACAGCATTTTCAGGAAAAAAAACGTTTCCTGGCACTCGCTGAACGAAACTTCATTCCGAATTTTTCAAGGACGTCTCACGGGTCACTTGTCGACCGAGCTTCCAATGCTAAATTTGGGGCAAAATGCGCAGGGTCTGAGCCTTCTCACAATGTCTCAGTTGATCCCTAGCTTGAGGCCATGTGACAGTAGCAGCCCTTGTAACCGAACCCGAAAAGTCCACGAGGTCGTGCTCTTTGTGGCCCTGTACTTGATATCCATAGGCACCGGGGGCCACAAGCCGTGCCTAGAGAGCTTCGGGGCTGACCAATTCGACGACAACCACGCCGAAGAGCGGAAGAAGAAGATGTCCTACTTCAACTGGTGGAACTTTGCGCTCTGTGGTGGCCTCGTGCTGGGAGTGACGATCATAGTCTATGTCCAGGACTATGTGAGTTGGGGCGTTGCCGATCTCGTCCTTGCCTTCACGATGGCGGTCACGATCGGGACTTTCTACACCGGGAGGTCCTATTATCGGTACCTAGCTCCCGAAGGAAGCCCTCTCACGCCATTACTGCAGGTTTTGGTGGCGGCAATCCGGAAGCGAAACCTGCCTCACCCTTCGAGTCCCGACTCGCTCTTCGAAGCCTCCGCATCAGAGAGTTCTCACAAGCGACTCCTTCACCACACGAATCGACTGAGGTATGCAACAAAAACTGAGTCAATCTGATATCGATATAAGCCTCTCGCAGTACCAATTTCGCGCTTCTCTTGGTCATTCCTAGTCCTGCCACTCTCGTCTCACACCTCTTGAACTTTGATTGAAATTGAACCAATTTAGCTAACTCATACTTCACTGGTTTTAAATTTGAGTCATGTATGAACAGATTTTTCGACAAAGCCGCGATTCTCGAGGGAGGCGAGGAGCTCTCCAATGGAGAGAAATATGATCCATGGAGACTTGCAACGGCGACCCAAGTGGAAGAGATGAAGCTGGTGCTGAACATGATCCCCATTTGGCTGACCTCATTGCCTTTCGGGGTATGCGTCGCGCAGGCCCCGACTTTCTTTGTCAAGCAAGGCGTGGCGATGGACCGGAGGATTGGCGGAGGGGGCCGCAGCTTCGAGATCCCCGCGGCCACCACGTACGCCCTCGGCGCCGTCGGGATGATAATCTCGGTGACCATCTACGAGAAACTGCTTGTCCCATTCCTGAGGAAATCCACGGGCAACGAGAGAGGCATAAACATACTCCAGCGGATCGGATTTGGTATGATCTTCTCAGTCGCGGCCATGTCGGTCGCGGCGTTCGTCGAGGCGAAGCGGCTTAGGATGTGGAAACACGATATCCTCACGCAAGGAAGGGCGATGACCAAACCATCCATGAGCGTGTTCTGGCTAGCGCCGCAGTTCCTCATCCTCGGCTTCGGGGACGGGTTCGCGCTCGTCGGCCTGCAAGAGTACTTCTACGACCAAGTCCCCGACTCGATGAGGAGCCTTGGGATCGCGATGTACCTGAGCGTGCTCGGGGGCGGGAGCTTCCTGAGCAGCTTCCTCATAACCATCGTCGACCACGTCACGAGGCGAGCCGACGGCGGCGGCGAGGGCTGGGTCGGGAAGGACTTGAACTCGAGCCGCCTCGACCGGTTCTACTGGCTGCTCGCGGCGATAAACCTGGTGACCCTCTGCGTTTACGTGGCCATTGCAAGGAGGTACACCTACAAGAATGTGCAGAGGAGGGTGGTGGTCGTGAGCGATTGCAGAGAAAATGGTGAAGAAGATCATGAGGCAAGGGCTTGATGATTCCCCCTAGTGCAAATTTGAAGTTTGGTCATGCAAGAATGTGCAAGCTTTTTGCAATATTGCTAGATGATTTCATATGATTAATCACCATCTTGACTAGCAACATTGCACCTGCTGGTTCTCATGGCATTAGCGTCCGTCACGAATTTTTTTCGACTCGTTGCATTTTATCGTGGATGACATGTCTTCGATCGGACTCGAATGATTTAGAAGGTATTATTTGTGATTCTGAAATAATGCAGCGTAAGGAAAGAAAGATAGATTTTCGGTTCGCGCGGACGGAACGAGAGTTGAAGACAAAGAAATGAGAGAAATTATAACGGGTTGGCCTTGAAAAGATTTACCAAGGATGAGATAGTATGATACACATGTGAACACTATTTACAAAATTCAAACATAAGAAATGTTTGGGAATTAGATTTCACAAAATTAGTTGTTAGAATCATGATAAATTCCTGACCAAGTTGAATATGTTCAAACAAGAATAATGCGTAACATCATCTAAATTGTGTAAAAGGTTTATGTGATTTATTACATTAATAAAAATAGAATTATCGAAGGAAAAGTTACAAAAGACAAAAGTCCTTTGAAACGTGGCAACAAAATATAGCAGACAACCTTACTATAAGAATTTACTACATGAGATGCCCAATAATATTATTTATCTCGCAAAAAATAAATAATTTAAAATAAATACATATTTTTAAAATGATCGCTTATATTATTTATGAAAAATATTTTCATCGTTCATAATAATATTTAATTTTAAATTATTATCGATAATAAAAATATTTTTTATTAACTAATTATTTTGGGCGATAGATACGATTATTTTTAAAATATATATATTTTCTAAATTATTCATTTATCGCGAAGCAAAACGAAGTCTTGATAATATACTTAGATCATCGAAACTCCTACTTAAAATTGACTCGCTCCTCCCGCATGTTCGTATCAATATTACGCAAGCAAAAAACACCTTTCTTCTTCTTCGATGGCCGGATTTTAAGCAGGATTTTCTATAAAAAAAAGTTCGATAAAGAGGAATTTCCGAAACTGCCCCTCGAAGCGAAGCGCAACAAACGCTCCACGACCGTTTCTGCAATTCCTCAAAAACTTTTTTTTTTCCCTTTAATTTTTTTTCTTTTATGTGGTGTCTGTCCTTTTCTTCGGCCATGGGGACTGCGAGAATTCTTTACGGTTCTTGCATTTCGCTTTCTCGCACTTTTTCTCGGGAAAAACTTTTCTTTTCTCGCCCTAGAAAATCCGACCCCTCGACCCACAAAGTCCGAACCCCCCCCCCTAACGAAGACTCCATCGACGATGAACGAGCGAGCGTCGTAATCTCTTCTTCGCCGCCGCCCCCACCACAGCACAGCACGATCGAGGGATCCCGAGGGAGACGCTCCCCACCCCCGGGCGATGGCGGCGCAACCGCAGGGCGGCGGCGCTGCGGCGGCGGCGGCGGCGGCCATGGACCCCGCCGCGCTAGACGACATAATCGGGCGGCTGGTGGAGGTCCGATCGTCGAGGCCCGGGAAGCAGGTGCAGCTCTCGGAGTCGGAGATCAAGCAGCTCTGCGTCGCGTCCAGGGATATCTTCATGCAGCAGCCCAACCTGCTCGAGCTCGAGGCGCCCATCAAGATTTGCGGTATCGTTCGTAATCTCGAGTGCCTTTGTTGATCGCCGCGTGGTTATATACCTATTGAGCCCCGAGCCGCTGGTAGTTTCATGGTTTCCTAATTTTGTTGGCGTTTCGATTGATATGAATATCGTGTTTGTTCATTGGTTTTGTCAGTGCTTGGATTGTAGATGTTGGAAGTGGTGTATATGAGAGTTTTGCAGGCTCAGGCTGTTCCTGTTGGAAAAGTTCACGAATTTTGCCTCACGTGTTATATCACATCGGGAAACAAAAAATCTTGGTTTATGCTAAGTCTTGTGAAGCATCTGATAATGTCACTGGATTCTATTGCGGTGTAAGCGCGATGGTTGCGTACAAGGAACTAAGACTGAACGGCCGGTCGTGTGTGTCTCCCTCCTTGGAAATGTAGGCTTTATCAGGTGTTTGTGGTAATTTTCTTGGAACCTGAGTTTGCAGGGGGAGAAGTTGAAGGTTTAGGAAGCAAAATGTTCTGTAAAGGGCTGGAATTTGAATAAGTGGGATGAGAACTGAGGGAAGAGGACTCGATTTGTATAATGTTGTGCAGGCTCTAAGAGTTTATTGCTATTCAGAATTGTTTAGGGGGCTAGATTATATGTGTTCTTCAGCGTCGGCTTGACCAAGTGCTGCATTGAGATCTAATAGGTCAATGTAGTGATGTTCAGGGGCTAACCCTTTATTGAAAGAGCATAACTTTAATCAGATCTCTAGAGTTTAATGTTGATCATCGTGAATGTTACCACAAATTTGATTTAAGCAAAAACGAAAAGGTAAAAGTCTCCCCAAACACACACTTAGTTTCAGCACGACGATATTCATAGCTATTAAGTTTTATTTTATTTTATTTTATTTTTTCATGTGGAATAGTGATTTGTTTATGGCTTCCCTAACAATTGTAAAACATCTTTTGAATTAAAAAATCTCCATGGGAATAAGACTAGACCTTTGCTCATGTCCAATGAAAAGTGGCTACTTATTAGTGACATGAGTTTGCTGACTGGCTATTTCTGTTTCTTCATTGGAGGGAATGCTGTATGGGTGCAGCAGGGGTCTGGGGGAGCATAGTGGCAGATTGTCACATACATTTGGACTTACCTTCTGATGCTTGGATGTTATCATGGTATTTTGTATGTTAATATTTCTTTTGGGCTTTAGGTGACATTCATGGACAGTACAGTGACTTACTGAGGCTTTTCGAGTACGGCGGTTTTCCTCCTATTGCCAATTACTTATTTCTTGGAGACTATGTGGATCGTGGCAAGCAGAATTTGGAGACGATATGCCTTCTGCTTGCCTATAAGATCAAGTATCCAGAGAACTTCTTTCTTCTTAGAGGAAATCATGAATGCGCTTCTATTAATAGGATTTATGGATTTTATGATGAATGCAAGCGGCGTTTTAATGTGAGACTTTGGAAAGCTTTTACCGACTGTTTCAATTGCCTCCCAGTCGCAGCTCTTATTGATGACAAAATACTATGCATGCATGGTGGTCTTTCTCCTGATCTGATAAATTTGGATCAAATAAGAAATCTACCGCGCCCGACTGCTATTCCTGACACGGGCCTGCTGTGTGATCTGCTTTGGTCTGATCCTGGCGGTAGGGATATGAAAGGATGGGGTATGAATGACAGAGGAGTCTCATACACCTTTGGTGCAGATAAAGTATCAGAATTTTTAACAAAGCATGATTTGGACCTTGTTTGCCGTGCTCATCAGGTATGGCCTTTCGTGTTCTCTTTGTTGCTATTTCTTTATATTTTTTGAATCATTCTAATGTATTTTATCCTGAAAAAATGGTTATTGGACCTAGGTTGTTGAAGACGGATATGAATTTTTCGCAGATAGGCAACTAGTGACTATATTTTCAGCTCCAAACTACTGTGGTGAATTTGATAATGCCGGTGCAATGATGAGTGTTGACGAGAATTTGATGTGCTCCTTCCAAATCCTCAAGCCAGCAGAGAAGAAAGCCAAGTCATTGATGCCGACAAAGATGTGATGGTTGCTGCTGTAATTCTTCAATGAGGTCTGATCAACGCAGCTCTGTGTCTTTTACATATTTTATGATGTCATAGTGGTACTTTCGCTTCAGATTAAGTGGAAACTTGCACCAATATCTTCACATCAGAACAGTTGCTAGTTGTGATGATTGTTTTCTTGCTTTATTCCGTAACTGCATTCATGCCCAGTTTGTTAGTTGCACTGGTTTGTAGTAATTAGTCGACTCCAGCTCATTCTCTTTTGCCTGATTTCTTAGATTTACCCAAGGGGTTGATGCAAACGGAATATACATGCACTAGTGCTATTCCTATTTTCAACTTTATAATACCAAAAATATCTTGAGAATACTCCATTGGTTAGCGTGGCTAGATTGGAGATTTCTTCATGACTTTTGTGGATTCTGGTGGCAATAATCACATCTGAGATCTGGATGTTATCTTATTTGAAGTAGTTGATGGGAAGCCTAGCGTACAAATTTCGTGCCATCGTCTAGCGACTCACTTTCTTTCTTTTCCCATGATGAATAATTTTGGGAAGTAGATAGAAGTGAAACCAAGTTTAGCAGATGCTGTAATTGATGACTGATTCTGATGCAGAGATTCTTCCCTGTGGCTCAGGAAGCAGCAAAAATGTGAAGATTGCTATTATATGGCTTTTTAACATCTGCATTTGATGTAAATGCCAGTCTGCTGTTTGGAAGACCGACGCCGTTGTGAAGACAACTTGTCGGGCTCAAATAAATGCCATTCTGCGGTAATTTATCTGCTGTGCTTGTTTATGTAACTGTCCTGGTAATGATGTCTATATCGATTGAACTGTTTGTTAGGGAGGATAAGAAACGGGGTGGCATTTTGGCACCTACAGATGCATTAAAATGTGCTCTCTTGCCATTAATATTCACAGTTTTTTTTTTACATGCACCAATTATATTCCTGTATGACCGTCCCAACGGCTAGTGTGCGATTCTCCTTATTGCCTAATGTGGTGGATATCTCTACTGGTTTGTGAGTTCAGTAAAGCCTCTTGGCGACATGGGTCGCTGTGCGTTGTTGCAAAGCCTGTACATCTGTCACTGCGCCTCTGTCTGCGAGGTGGTTGCTGCACAATTTATAAGCCCATGCTTGAGCTGATGAGTCGAGCCAAGCTGGGTATTGGCGTTTTGAGATTTGAAAGCTTTGTCATTGCAGGCATGGCACAAGAGGACCGGTGAATGGCCGGCTAGTCCAATGATCTGTTATAATGGGAATGACTCTTTCTACTATACTAAGCTGCTCGCATTAGAAAGAGCGATACCGGCACTTGATCTCACAAACCTGTCCACATTATTTTCTCTGAAAATGCTGTGCCGACGGCGACAAACATGGTCTCTCTTAGCAAGACTTGAACAACATGAATTTTTTAACGGTAGTTGAGAACGAGAGATTTATCCTTATACGCGTGTCGATATAGCGTTTGGTGGCAATCAACATGAGCCGGCCAGACATTATAATTATGTGCCTTCCATCGCCATTTTATGTCAAAGATTAAGGAAGTAGTTAGAGTGCTTGTGGGGTCGATGTTAATGGGGGTTCAATCATGGCCCAGACAAGAAGATTGCAACTGGCCCTTCCAGGTTCGACCGACTCTCTGAGAGATGATGCAACAAGACCCCAAAAAGGGATAGGAAGGAGAGAGATAAGTCACTACTGTTCTGTGGATCAATGATCACCTATCATGAGTTTTCAACTTAATCCATCACGGGCTAAAGGCCACTTCTTTTATGTACCATGATCATCTTGAGTTTGTACTATAAAGCGAGTCCCGCTGGTAATTTTCTGACGCTGGGGTTCAGCTGGGTACTGGGAAGCAGCTAGAATCTGAAGTGACCCTCGAGTTTAGATAGAATTTAGCCAAGTGGGCTATACTTATTTTGAAGGAAAAATCGTGGGGAACTTGCTTTTTGGCCAAGGTTGAACGAGAGATTGTTATTTAAGCTACGCAAAGAAAGAGAGTCGAGTTTAGAAGATTGGACCCGAGGAACTTTACGTATGTTCTCGGGTTCTTTAGCAAAAGAGTAATTTTTTTTTTCATATTTCAATTTGATAATTTGTATCCGCAAGTCGGGAAAATTAAGTGTTATTATCCAATTGATAATCTCAAAAAGGGAATCACGTGGATTTGCCCCTATACTTGTAGTTACTAAGAAGTAGATACAAAATAGTCTATTAACGAGTTAGCAAATATTGAGGTAATTTTTAAGATGTGAAGCTCCAAAATTCTTATGATTGTTTCAATCCTCTAATGGACTTTCCTAGTTTACAAAAGGCTAGATGTTGCATGCCTAGACTGAACATTCTCTTTTAAAATGATAAATTTTTAAGATGTGAAGCTCCAAAATTCTTACGTAGAATCGAATTAATAGAGGAATTATGACTTGATTCGTAAATGTGACTCACTCCCCATATGGCACTACCCGTGATGCTCGTTCCGAGGGCTCGACTCGAGATCATTATAAATGGTACTAGAGCATTGTAGTAAAAAGAAGGTTTCATTTCAGGGCGTGTCCATTTTGCTTAATCTGAATTTTGCAATGGATGTCACTTTAACTTTTTTTCTTAATTCAAAACTTTCACAATATACAACTATTAAAGGGTAAATTCACTCGCGAGTATTTCACAACTTCCTGAAATTTAAATAATATTTTAAATTTCTGCGAAAAAGAAAAGGGGTCGCTTTTCACATTTCAAAAAGCTTAACCAATCAGGCCGTCAAATATCATATCTTAAAGTAGCAATAATAAGAAAGGAAGAGTATTGAAAATTCCAAATCAGAACGTACTTTTATTAGTTACTTACATTTCCATCATGATTTCAATAAGATCCATAAAAAGAAAACGCGCCAAAATTATGTTCAATCTTATTTTTCTAATTATTTATTCTAGAGATAGTTTTGAAAGAAGAAGGTAAAGAGAAAAAAAAATGTGGCAAAATCACTTTTTTTTACATTTTAAAACATATACAACCATATATATATGCCATTGGGAAAAAGCATGGGCTCGCGAAGGCGCCCAATCACCCACCCTCTCCATCCATTTTTTAAATTTCTTGGCCGATCTCTCTCTCTCTCTCTCGCTCCGCATTTCAGTCCATACTTGTTCATGCTTCGAAGGTAGGGTTTTGCTCTCCCTCCCGAAAAATCCCGAAAAATCCTCCTCAAAATCGACTGCAAATCCCTCCGCATTGGCCGCCGATCTGCGGAGGGGCTTGGGGGCGATGATGAAGAGCCTGGTGGATCCGTCGGCGGCGTTCCTGGCCGCCAGCGGAGGCGACACCGTGAAGCTGTTCGACGTGTCCGTGGAGGCCGGCGATCCGTGCGCGTCGAGCTACGCGCCGTCGCCGGGGAGCCCCGTCCACTCCGTCAAGTGGAATCACACTAGTGAGTGACGGTCTCTCGTGCTGTGTGCGTGCGCGTTGTCTTTTGGGGAATTTCGGGTTTAGCTTCGAGTGTTCGTTTCTTGGTTCCGCATTTTACGCTCCGTCGGGGGCGGGATTTAGATTGCTTTACGGAGCCAAAGTGAGGATGGAGTGATCGCTTGGTCTTCGCGAAAGTGATGGGCTTGTGGTGATCCTAAATGAGGAGTTTGGATACTGGCCAATCACTATGACTCGGTGTGGGAGTGACTGGCTGTGTGTGAATTCATGTAGGGTTGTCTCTAGTGGCGTGTATAAAGAAGATTGACAAGAATTCATATTGTGCCCGGTTAACACTTTCGGTTTTTTTTTTTTTTTGGGTATTTTCAGATTTAGTTGTTGCTAGTGCTGTGGAAGACGGGAAGATCTCGCTGTGGAGGAAAAATGGTCAAAGCATGGGGACATTATCAGTGTCTGGGACAGATGGTGGAGACAACACTGAGGTACCCAGATTTACTCTTTTCGTTCTTTCCCCATTGTTAATCAAGCTAAAGAAAGGGTTCACGGGCAGTTGTTCTCTATTCCTATATGAGCGGTTACTATTTCCTGTTGTTTGTACTTGTGCCTTGCAGTAGGTTTGGGCTGTCAAGAGCAGCAAAGCTCATCTTCTTTGAATTTCTGTGTGTCCAAATACACGTTCCTTATACAGCCACTATCTCTGGAAACTTGCTTCTCCATATTTAGCACACTAAAGAAAGAAAAATAAAACACTGTTTCTATCCCATCTGTCTTGCTTTTTGGTAGGGCTCAGAACATAGTGATTAGCAGAAAGGGGGGTGGAGACTGGTTAGCGTAACTCTAATGATCCGTTTTTTAGACTTTAGAAATTGTTACCTACGATCTTGAAGCAGATTTAATGACTTAACTTGTCCAATGTACATGAATACAATTGCAAGAACCTGCATTTCAATCTGATTTGCAATTATTGATGATTTGCCATTCCTTCTGATCTTTCATGTACAACTTTTTTTTGCGATGGGGCTACTGTTTTCTTGCTCTTTAACACAATTCTGACTCATTGCATAAGAAACTAACATGTTGCCTGAGGATCACAAGCAAAAAGAACTCAAGTTTACATGTTTGCATGCTATCATGGCCATGGCAGTGACTTACTGTAATTTTCTCGGCTTTCAGGAATCTATCATGGCTATTAGCTTTAGCAACAAGGGATCCAGATACATATGCTCCGGGGGAAGTGATAAAGTTGTAAGAATATGGGATTTGCAGAGGAAGCGTTGCATTAAAGGGTTAAAGGGTCATACCAATACAATAACAGGTGCCATGTACAACTGTAAGGATGAGCACTTGGCTTCTATCAGTATCAGTGGAGACCTCATTCTTCACAACCTTGCATCTGGTGCAAGGGCAGCTGAACTCAAGGACCCCAATGCACAGGTCATTTATTGTTTCCATCTGAAACTGCAGTGTGGTGCTTGCTGGCTCTGCTTTGTAAGCTAATTTTATTTTGCTGGATGATTCAAGACCAGGTACTTAGGGTACTTGACTACTCAAGGATCAGTCGACACCTTTTGGTAACTGCTGGCGATGATGGGACAGTTAATCTGTGGGACACTACTGGTCGTAGCCCCAAGGTTTACTTTTATGTTTAACATATGCTTGCTATCATTGTGATCTTTTGTTACTTTATTTCAAGATCCCTGTGAACGTGGATATGGTTGTTATTTACCTGCGCCATTTCATACTGTTGCTTCTGTTTAAAGCTATGCTTGTATATTATTCTGGAGAATTGAAAATGTTGACATTTTCTGTAGTCATTTTCAATAGCTCTTCCAGAGAATTACTTGTACAAATTAGATTGCCATTTTGATTGGCAATTTAACTTCAGATATGAGATTATGGCTCCATTTCTATCGAGTGATGCTCAATTGACCAACTGAGTTTTTTATTCTTTTTAAGCACGTTCTTTTAGATTATCCACTGTCTTTTGGAAGGAGATCTTATTTGAATTTGAATGAGCATCATTGTCAGACTGCATCTTCTTTCACCTCTTAACCAGTAATAGTTTCTCTGCAGTTTTCCCTCGCCCCCACCCACACCACATAAACACCACATAGCTAGTCTGTTTCTCATTTTTAGTAAATATCTGAGGCAATGTTTTGATGGTTCCTTTCTTTTCTCTTAAGATTGCTTGGTTGAAGCAGCATTCTGCACCAACGGCTGGTGTTAGCTTTTCTCCATCCAGTGATAAGGTTTGTCCTTACACTCACTAGCAGAGACCTGCTTTTTAGTTCTTATTCTTGAAAAGAGAATATCAGATAGCTATGAGCATAGCGGATGTGAAAGATTGTCATCTTTTTTCTGGTAAGGTCTGCCCGTTATTATCGGTGATCCAAACACTATCGATGATTCTAATATCCAGAATTCCTGTGGCAGATGATCGCTAGTGTTGGTTACGATAAAAAACTGTATACCTATGACTCTGGATCTAGAAGGTTCTCTTC